AAAACAAGCTATTCTCCCTTTTTAAATCTTTTAGAACTTAGAAGTTTTTGATTTCGATTATTTTGCGATCGTGATAAATTTACTTTACTTCATTATTTTATAAAGATATTTTTTCTTAATCCAAGTGATGGGTGATTCCTTTTCTCATATCCAATTAATTCTTTGAATTAGGTCATTGATTCCAAAAGATGATTCTACCCTAAGAAAACGTCTGAGCTAAGGGTAACCATGATCGGATATTCTACTATTCTATAGATTGATGAGATTATTAACATATTAACTCACAAGTTTTTAAATCAATCACATGGAATACTATATCATTTTCATGCCTTGGATAAAAAAAAAAGAATCTCTGTGCTTTGCTATTGTTCTTTTTTGTTCCCTCCTTTTTGATATGTCAAAAAGGGGAGAAGTTTAAGTTTATGATGCTCTTTTTTTCATCGATCCTGAACTTTTACTGCTAACTATTTTCGTAGTGTTTTGTCATCATCAAAAAGGGGGAGATTGTTGCAAACCTATTTTCATGACTTATGTTTTGATGACTAACAAACACTATTTCTCTTGGACTACTTGTTGCTTCTAACTTTTCAGGAATCGAAGATCGGATGATCAAGAAGAAGCCAGTTCAGGATTGCGTAGGTTTAGGGTTGAGTCAGTCTGTACTTTTGTTTTTCACTTTTTGAGTCTACTTGTAATGGTCAAAGAGACTGATGCTAAGTAACCCTACACACACACACTTGAGAGACTTAGAATTTCTGTTTTTACTCATATCATCCAGGACGATATTTACATCGTCCTGGACAATCAGGTTTAAAACAAAAAGTCTAAATAAGGATTCTTAATTAAGGCAGCCGTCATTAACATGTCAGCCTGGACGATACGTGTATCGGCCAGGATGATAAACTCAAAACAGAAAGAAGTTGCCGCCATAGACAATTAAGGTATACTATATTTTTAAATTATCGTCCAGGACAATCATTGATCGGCCTAGACGATATTCTCAAATTATGCCTTAATTGATCAAGAAATCAAGGGAGTAAATAAGGATGATTGATACGATCATATCGTCCTGGACGATCGCAGGATCAGCCAGGACAATCCATTCAATAACCTTAAGTTACCTCAGGACGATAAGTATCGGCCAGCTCAAAAACAGGGCGATGCTCAGGACGATTTTCCTCTGATTTGAACTGATCGGCCTGGACGATCAAGCCAAATTTCAATCATCCAGGAGTGCATCAAGGGCGATGCTCTGGCCGATCTACTGGGATTTATAGTGATCAGCAAGGCCGATGTCCATATCATCCTGGATGATAAAGTCGGCAACTTGCAATTAATGAGCTCCTTTGAATCTCTTCTATTTAAGAGCTCTTGTTCAACATTTTTTAGGACCTTTGGCTACTGCCTTGACCTGAGAAGGCCTTGAGGAGAGAAAGAGAGAGTGGGAGAGAGAGAGGATCTTGTGAGGGGGAGCTTGTGAGGGGATTCACAGGGGTTGCTTCAAGGATCACTCTGCTTCTTCTTCATCTAGAGTTTCTCATCCATGGAAGGGTTGGTAGAGGTAAGGAGTTAGCTTTTGGTTGTGGTTCTCTGCCAGCTTCAGGGGGAAGCAAAAGGAGATAGGTTCTCTGCCTTGCCGGGGTGGAAAAAAGGAGGTTCTTGTGAGGGCTTCTCCGCCTAGCCGTGGGGGCTAAAGGAGAGTCACGTTTTGTAGTGCAATAATTGGAGGTGCCTCCAAGGAGTGGACGTAGGTCGAGTCGACCGAACCACTATAAATTTACGTGTTCTTATTTCTTGCTTCCGCACTTTTAATTCCGCATTTTATTTTTGTGGTGTGATTTTCGTTTATGTAATTTTTATTCTTTGTGAAAAGAAAATTTTAAAATACCAATTCACCCCCCCCCCCTCTTGGTTAGCTTGGGTCAGTTCTATAGGGCTTAACATCCCTAACGAACTTTCATACCTTACCATTCCTCATTGGAAAAAAAAATTGTAATGGGCTAGTGGGAGCACGTGCCCCCAGTGCCCCCACCTTGGATCCACTATTGCAAACAGGATGATGAAGTAAGAGTTTTCTAGATTAAATTTGATTTTGATCGAGCAAGTGCAGGCCAAACTTTTTGCTAATTATAAACTTTTTCGTAAAGAAAGATGACAGTATTGCTATGTTAATGAAAATTCTAACATCTATAAATTAATATCATCATTTCCCCTTAATTATAATAAAATTAAGCACATCTTAATGGTTTTTATCAACTTATATAAAGTTTCCGTCATTTGATATTTAATTATTTCATAAAATTTGGATACAATTGAACTTTTTTTCATGACTACATTTATTTTCCTCGGTGCCCCAATTTTATAACCAACATGATGTAACCAATTCATTCTAGCTACATCAATACATTTCATTTAACACAATCAACTTAATCGATCCATCACTAGCTACAACCATGAGCCCCAAAGCCAATTTGTTGATTCTTCTCATCAATAACTATATTTTTAGTGCGTTGCTGCACATTACCAATGATCACTACCTTACTATCATCATCATTTTTAGCGAAGGCAAAGCACGTTATAGAAGTAGTTGTCGTGAAAATTATCCCTGTGGAATCTAATGTAACTGTCACTTCTCCTTCAAAGATCAAGTCAATTTGTGGCAGGGACACGTTCTGGAAGTTTGTGAAGTCATAGCATGTGTCAAAAATTTCTATTGGAGGTACCATCGGGTATTTTGTCATGTACTGTTGAAAAGTGTCACGAAGGGCAAAGTAGGCAGTGGGTGGAAGGCGGCTAATCACTGCGCCGGAGTCCAAAAAAGTTCCAGGGCCAGTGAATACAGTAGGTGAAAGGTTGAGCCTTTCATGATCAACAGAAATGGCAATGAGATTGAGGAAGTACATAGATGGAAGGTTTGGGTTGGTCAGCATCGGTGTATACTGCACACTAGGGACCGAGCTACCTAGTTTGAGATATCCAATTTTGTTGGTTGCTGATGGTAGACAATATGAGAATACCTTGTTATAAAATCCAGCTGTTTGGGAAATAATTGAAACAGCCCCCCGACCGAGGCCTAATATCCCATTTATTTGTCCGAATGTCCAACTATTGTTATGTCCACAGCCATAGCGGAAATAGAGTAATTTATCAGAGGAGAATGTTAAGGTGTCTTTAATGAAGGAGCCTTTAGAAAAAGAACCGTCAAAATAGTTTATCACATATAGACAGGTATCGGTAGAGGAGCAACCAAATTGGTTAAGATCAGCACAATAGTTGGAGTTACATGGGATGTTGGAGAAACCAAAGGACTTGGCTGGGTCATAAATTGGGACTATTTGGGGGTAGCAATTATCACAGGGAACACATTGGATCCAAGTGAGAGGGCTACCGGTGTCCAACAAAACTGAGAAGTTCTCTATCTGGGTGCCTAGGCCTATGGTGACAATATAATTATAGCTAGAAAGAGGTATGCCAATTTCTACCGAGACTTCTGCAAAAATAGAGCTTCCGATAGGGTTGAGACGGGCAGTGGAATTGGCGGCTCTATGATGGATGTAGTCAACGCGGTGTTGGTCTTGACGGAGTAGCTCCACATGGGACAATAGGGTACGGGCATTGTGCCTGGCTTGGCAAGGGATGAAGCAACGGGCCGTGCCGGTGGACCACCTGAGCAGGGGAAGGGCTGCATGGCCTGTCACAAATGGAAATAGCCAATGCAATGCAATGATATGATATATAATATAGTATATAGTATATATAATAATATATATATAGATATATATATATATATATTATGATATAGTATATATGTTTTTCGCTTAGAATCATGTTTAATGCTGTGGATATCTTATAAAATTAGAGCTAAATTGCGGAATGATTTATAATATATTACTAATTAAGTTATGATAAAAACAGTCTCCAATAAGGAATTTAAGGAAAATATTTAATGTGTTATGAAAAAATTTGGGATCGCGAAACTTTTATCAGGCATAGAAGGCCAGGAGTTGCTGTCGGCA